AACTAGTTCAGGGTGAAAAAGTTCTTTGTACTGTACTTCAAACTTATCTGTAAGTTGAAATTGTTTCAATTTTTTTTTTAAATAGAAAATAGTGTTTATATTCTTTAAACCAACAATTATACTCCTAAGACCGCATCCTAAGGAAGTAATGAGAGACAGGGAAAGATGTTGTACAAGGGTGTTTATCACAGTATTTCACATGATAAAGATTTCTAAATGATCTAAATGTTTAATAATAGGGAGATTGTGAAATATAGTATGATATATCTATGTGTTGAAATACACTCTAGCCAATTAGAAATATTTTGAATTATTGAGATAGAGGAATGTTATAATGACAAATTATTATGTAATATGATCCCAATTTTATAAGCAATATAAAAACTACAGAAAGGAGGTGTATTTTGCCTCACATCTTTTCTTCCTTTTTTTTGTTTTTTTTTTTTTTACAAAGTTTGGAATCTATGGCCCAACATTATAAAGTGTCCCATCCACCCATACAAAGGCCCTTGTCCCTTACTTTCTCAGCAGAAACCCAGATCAAACTCATTTATCTGCCTCTCTTGTGCTTGAACTGGGTAACTATTGCTAAGGAAACTTAAGAAAATTTCAGTAACCACTCAATGCCACAAGAGAGTATCATTACATTTCCCTAACAGTTTCACTTTTCATTCAAAAAATAATTTAGAATCATAGAATCTTAATATTAGAGGAGATTTTTGAAACTCAGTCCAATCCACAAATTTTATAAATGGAAAAATAGGCCTAAAGAGTGGAAGTGACTTGACTAGAAGTTAGGTAAAAAGCTAGAGACAAGATTAGGAACCAAATCCTGATACCATGTTTAGTATTTTTTTGTTTCCTTTACTGATGTTAGGACTTTTTCATGCATTGATGGTGGTAGAAGTTTAAAAGTTTTAAGTTTTTAGGAGACCTTTCCTGGATTTTATTTTCATTCATTCAACTTATTCTTATTCTCCTTTCAGTAACTGATATATATAGTTATTGGTAATCCTGGGGAAGGTGAAATTAATTACAATTTCTTGACTTTTTTCTATGTGTTTTTCAGCTTTTTCCAAGTATTGTTTACTGAGCATATGTTTGATATTAGGGAAACAATGCTAGTAAAAAGAACATAATTCATTTATTACTCATAAGTAAAACTAAATACATTTATCCTAGAAAATAAAACCAGAGACAAATGTTTGTTCACCTGTAACTTTGTTTATAATGCAAAAATAAAAGAAGCTTAAATGTTAGGTAATATTAATAATATAAGCTAATTTGGACTTTATAATATAAATAATAGATGTTTTGGTTATAAATACTACCCTTCTTTTTCCTTTGCTCCCTATCTCAGTGAATGGAACCACTTTATACTCAAAGCCCAATCCAAAAACCTGGGATTCATCTTTGATTTCTCCTTTCTCACCTTTAAGACACTAAGATCTCTCAATACACCTTTCATAATAACTCTTGAATCCATCTATCTCTAGCTGTCTCCATTGTCACTACCTTAATCCATCATCTCCACCATCATCTCAAACTTACATTCCCATAACTGCTTCCTAATTGGTATCCCTGCCTCTCCCATCCATTTATCACACTGGAGGAGAACTTCTTTTCCTGCAAACAAAACTAATTGTTTTCATTCTTTGAGGAATGTTGGTTAGGCCTTGCCACATGTGTTGAGAATGAGATGTGTACAGTGTAGTCCCCACTCTTCAGATAGATGTTACTTTTTAAACCTCTAGTATTTTGTGTAGTTCAGGCTCAGAAATTTGAGCCACAACTTTTGTGATCTGGCCCCTGCCTACCTTTCCAAACTTATCTTCAGACACATACCCACCTCACCCTAGAACCCTGCTCTTTTACCAGTCATAATTTGTTATCTATGGTTTCAAAATTAGAATTTTATATTTGTATTACCCATATTTTAAAATCCTTGCCCTTTTAATATATACTCAGTTCAGTTTAGCCCCTTTAAACAAACAAGTAGTCAACATCTAGAGTCCAGACCTTGCTTCTGAGCTACAAATTTGTACTTCTAGTTGCCTGATGGACATTCCATGTGGGTATCTCACAGGTACCTCAAACTCAAAGTGGTGAAAATTGTTCTTATAATTTTCTGTTTTCACAATCTCAATAAACCGTGTTATCATCCACTGAACTGTTCAGGCAAGAAACCTGGAGTTATCCTCTGCAATTTCTTCTCCTTTGCCTCTATATCAAATTGATCACAAATCCCTATTTCTTTTACTTACTAAATATTTCTCAAACCTGTTTACTTGTATCCATTCCCATTCCTGCTATCTTCCTTAGTCTGGAGTTCTTCCACATCTACTCTTTTCCTTTTCAGAGCACTCTCCATACATACCTGATCTGACACCATGTAGTAACTATATTTTCTTATTTTCTTTATTCTTAATTCTCTTGACCTGGGTCCTTGCTGAATGGGAAGAAACTGCCCCTCTAGTGACTAGGCAATTCTGAGAGATATCTCACAAACAGCTCACCCTGGATTGTGCCATTCATATTCAGGCTAACTAATCCAGAGCCCATACTTCCTCTGTCTGGCTCTTATACTCCAGGAGGCAATATTCCTTTGTCCTAATTACCCTAGGGCCAGGTACTAGACAACTAGAGATAGTCCCTATACCCCAGAGCCTGCTGAAATTATTCAAACTAGCCAGTCCTAAACCTCCTTACCATGCTTTACCTTTTCCATGGAAATCACAATAAATGCTCTCACCCAGGCTTTACCTTTCTTCCTTCTGCCTGCTGATTGACCCTGGTACTTCCCTCTGTAACCCTGTGTGTCATAGTATGGTGTACTCCCTCTTCTTGGGAACTTCAAGTAATAAACTGTCTTTTTGATGGCAATTGTCTCTTCATTTGTTGGCTACAGCATACCTGTATAATAATACAACCTACATTTTAAAACATAACACCATCACCCAGTTTAAACCTTCTCAGTGGTTTGCCATTGCTTTTAAAATAAAATTAAGAATCTCTTTCAACCATGTGATCTGTTTGTGCTTATCTCTTCGGCCTCAGTTTATATCCTTCCTTTCTCTCACTAAGCTTCAAAGACATTAGAGGTTTTCTCCAGTTTTTCAGATTCCCTTCCTACCACAGGACCTTTGTACATGCTGTTTCTGATGCTTACATTTCTAATCTTCCCCTAATCCTTATTTAGCTTAATCACATCTACATAGTTTTCAAGTCTCACTTTATATGTCACTTCTTCAGTGAAGGTTTCCATGAATCCCTAAGTTAGGACCCTTACTTTATGATTACGGTACTCTGTACCTATCTTTCATGCCACTGATCATAATTATAACTAAATACTTGTGCAATTAACTCTTTAATGTCTCTCTCTGCTCTGAGATTGTAAAGCAACATAGCACTATTTTGTCTACAGCACAGCATAATGCCAGGTTTATAGAAAGTGCTTCATAAATATTTGTTAAATCAATAAATAAAGGAATGATAGCAATTATTTCAACTGCCTTTCATAGACTCTATGAATAGGCCTATGAGGCAAAACAGAGAAAGTAGATCTTTTTATGTACTATGCTCTAAATATATGGGTAGAATGTCTGTAAAAATGGGCCCTTTAGATACCTCAGTAAATCGTGGAAATGTCAAATGGCTACAGTAATATTTTGCTAATACATGAAAACTGAAATAAAGACAAAAATGCAAAAGATGTTTAAGGTAAAGGCAGTAGACCCTGGTTCAAATACTTTAAATAGGTTAACCTTCTGCATATCATAAAACTTATGGTAGATTTAGCTGTAGCATATCATGATTCTGTGCCAGTTTTTTAAAAAATGTTTAAAAGTGATTCAAATGAAAGGTTGTAGAGACAACATAATGTAGAGGTATGCTTCAGAGTCAGTTCGGAATCCTGCTCTGCTACTTACTACCTCCGTGATCTTGGACAAGTTACTTAAACTATGTAAGCCTAGTGTTCTCATCTTGAAATGGGGATAACAATGACACCTACCTTAGAACTGTGAAAATTAAATGAGATAGTGACTGAAAAGTGACTTAACCTTTAAGACCTAGCACAAATGCTGTTGTTTTCATTATTCTAATAATTTACTAGAATACATCATTCACTTTGCATAAGCACTCTGTCAACTTCCTAGAATGCTTTCTCTACCACCGCATTTCATTCCTGACATCACCTTCTCTGACTACTGTGTGTCCTTTTTGTTGGAATCCTTACTTTATATTTAATCATGTTTTTCATTCCCTTAACCTCATTAGATTGTGAACTCCTTGAGGGCAGTGACTCTGTTTTGTATCCTCAGCTTCTAACACATTGCTTGGCACATAGTAGACATTTTATTAAAGAATTACTTAAATGTGTGTCTAGTGATAAATAAACTCTATAGGATTGGTTTGAGGATTAGAAATAACCCATCTACAACACCTAGCTTAGTGTCCACCTTGCAGTTTAATACGTAATAGCTGTAATTATTGTTACTGTTATCAGTGCTAATAATAATAAACTTATTTTTTAGAGACATAGGTTCATTGGATTGATGAAATTATTTCTGTGGCCATTAATACCTCTTGTTATATATTAGTGGACATTTTATCTATTTAAAGTGCTATAGGAAGGAGGAAATGCAAAAGAATACTGATAGGACCCACAGACCTGTAAATGGTGGATATCATTTTTTCCTGGAGGTATGACATCACAGTTTGTGATACTGAATGATATAAGCAGCACAATTACAAGGCTGTCTTCCAGGAATAGCAAGTCAGCCTTCCTAGTTAGGTGTGTTCATTAGGACAGATGGATGGATAACCATGTTTGTTCAAAAACAATAAAAACACTCACAGTAATTAGATGATAAATATAAAAGAATTAGCAAGATAAATTAGAGTTGAGAATCTTAATCATTCTGATGTTTTATTTTGACTTATATAATGATTGCAGCTCTATGATATTCAAGCCTGTTATCTTTCTTTGTCTCTTATAGCTACTGGATGAACTCCCAATGATTTACAGCTGTTGCATATTTGTGTACTGCATGTAAGTACTTACGTTTAAGATTCAGTTGTTTGATATATTTTTAAGTTTTTACTGCTTCATAATAAATTCACTAACTCAGTAATTATTACTAGAAGATTGTAATGATGTAGAAGATTATAAATTTTATGATATCTTTGTAGAGTATAATTTCTGGGAAGTAATAATAGTATTGTTTATTAACTTTTGTGATCTCATAACCCTGTATCCAATTTAATTAGAATTTTATTTATTTATTTATTTCTATTTTTTCCAATTTCAGAATACTACTGGGGTACAAATGACTTAAATTGCATAATTTGCCTTTCCTTGAGTGAAGAATATATACAAATTTAGATGAAGGTTTTCTATATTATGCCATAAAAGTTTTTAAGTAAAGTTTCCCTGCACTATTATATAAATCGTTCCTGCCCAGAAGCTTATCAGAAAAGTGAAGTGCACGTCTAGTTATATAGTGATTGTCATTTTATTCTCCTCTTTGCTTTGAAGTTATCTTTTATAATAAATAGATATTTGTTTCCTTTAAAATCTTCTTATTCTAAATTAGAATAAATGCTGTTAACAATATGCTTATTTTGATTGGTTATTTACAAACATGGAAGAGAACAATGAAACAATGTACAAACCATTACCAATCCAAAGTTCCCTTCCTGGTCATATTTTTTTTTTTTTCTTTTTTTCTTTAACATAATTCATGTGAACAGAGCTGGTCATATTCTGTTTGTTTCATTATCAAGTTAATTTTTATTTCCTGAGTATTGGAAAAAATCAATCTTGAAAGATAAAAGTAATTATGATAATAACATTAACATATGATAATATTTATTTAATGACTTTGTACTGTACTAGGCAGCTGTACTACACCATCTCTAATTCTCAACAATTACGCAGGATAAGTGGATATTGTCCCAATTTTATAGATAAGGATGTACAAAGTACAGAAAGATTTAGTAACTTATCTAGGGACATAAACAGAGCTTGATTTAAAAGCATGCCAGCCATGTCATTGCCTTGGTAAATAATCTCTAGGGGACAGTAAAATATCCCTGGAAATATGTCATGGTGTAGAAAATTACAATGATCAGAATCCTTCTTAAGTTGAGGTTGGAAGAACACTTTGATAGGCTGCCTTGGTATATGATGGAAGTATAGAAGTGGGACCTTTCCTGATTGAATAACAACAGGTGATCATTAAATGTGCCTTCTAAGGAGGGTGGATGAGCTTACCTATAGGTTTTTTATTTTGTTGAGTTAGGGTATGCAAGTTTGGGCTCCAGCTAAATTGCTGGGAGCAATAGAGGAAAGCCTCCTTCACCCATCACCCTGCAGCATTCAGCATTTCTGAATGTTAAATAAGTAAAGAATATGTGTTTGGAGGGGTAAAAAATTACTAAGCCTGTGTAGTGACTCATATGTCTGAGTCAGGCCCTAGTAACAAGGCTTTTAAGTGATAGAGCCACAATTTGAACCAGTTCATATCTGACTTCTATATCATGATACCTCTCCCAAAAGTGAATAGTACACACTAAAGTAATTGAAAGGTTTTTTTCCTTTCATTTTTAGTGAGCTGTACTGAATGATACAACTGTTGGCTCTTACCTTTACTAAGACTGATTTTTATACAGAAACAATAAGAGGAAGAATGCTCATTTAGCTGCTAAGATTTATATGGCATCAAGCCCTATTTTTAAGTTAGGTAAGAAGATGTACAACAGGGATAGGCAAACTTTTTCTATTAATATAAAGGGACAATGGTAACTTAGACCATATGGGCCTAATATCTCTGTTGCAACTGTTCATCTGTGCTCTTATAGATTGAAAGTAACCATAGATAATATGTAAACAAATGGGCATGACTGTGTTCCTGTAAATTTTTATTTTAAAAAACAGGCTCAGGCTGACAAATTGGCTCTTAAGCCATAGTTTGCCACTCCTGATCTAAAAAAATACTTTCAAATGAGCTTTTAAGAGCATATTTTTTAAACTATTCTGATATTTTAGAAGAAGATATATATTCTTGAGCTGGCAATGATGATCAATCATTGATAATCATAATAATGATCATATTGAAAAGAATCACATAATCATCACATAATGGATTAATGCTAGGGAATAGCAGATATTTCTTAGAAGGGAAGGATATTGTGGTTCAGTTTCCAGCTCTGACACTTACCAACTGTGTGGGCTTCAGTAATTCCCTTAATCTTTCTCTTTCTTCATTTGTGAAAAATGGAGATATAGTACTTATTTCCTGTGAAAGATTAAATGATTTATTTGTTTATAAAACAAACTTATTTTATGCCAATTGTGTAACAGGCACTGTGATATGGGCTGGGAATTGGGACATTTAAGCAACAAGTAGTCTTTTACCTCAAGCAATTTGTAGCCTAGTAAAAGAAAAAGAACCAGAAACAGGCAGCCTCCATGTAATGTGGTTATTACTACTCCTGAGACATATACAAAGTTCAATGGAGTAGAAAAGGGTAGAGTTTGCCATTATGTGAAAATGGAGCATAGTATCATGTCATTATGAATAAAACACAAGTTTCATCATTGCTGCCACCTCAGAGTATTAAAAACAGGTATAAAAAAAGAGTATAAAAAGTCTTTTGTTCCTTGAAGACTATGTCCCGGCATTCTAATCTCTTTTCAACAATTTTCTGCAACACTTGTTTATGCTCATATTCTCCCATTGACAAAAAAAACCTGCTATAGTACACTTTAGGTGACACTGAAAAGGCTGAAATAATTTTAATCCACTTTATTGAGGTATAATTTACTTGTAATAAAATGTACCCAATGTAAATGTATAGTGTGATGAGTTTTTGACAAATGTATACTCCCATGTACTCATTTCTCTTATATTAAGAAATAGAGGCCGGGCGCTGTGGCTCACGCCTGTAATCCTAGCTCTTGGGAGGCCGAGGCGGGCGGATTGCTCAAGGTCAGGAGTTCAAAACCAGCCTGAGCAAGAGCGAGACCCCGTCTCTACTATAAATAGAAAGAAATTAATTGGCCAACTGATATATATATAAAAAAATTAGCCGGGCATGGTGGCGCATGCCTGTAGTTCCAGCTACTCGGGAGGCTGAGGCAGAAGGATCACTCAAGCCCAGGAGTTTGAGGTTGCTGTGAGCTAGGCTGATGCCACGGCACTCACTCTAGCCTGGACAAAAAAAAAAAAAAAAAAAAAAAAAAAAAAGAAATAGAACATTTACATTACTTTGGAACATTCTTTTTGCCCTATTACAGTTAATCCAGATCCCTACCCTTGGTTGACCCACTGATCTGCTTTCTATAATTATAGATTAGTTTTTTTCTCTTCTTAAATTTTATATAAAATTTAAGGAATTATACAATATGTACTCTTGTATCTGGCTTCTTTTTTTCAGTATAATATTTTTGAATTTCACCTATGTTATTTATATCAGTAGTTCCTTCTTTTTTTATTGCTAGCAATATTACATTATATGGATATTCCATTCACCAATGTTTGACATTAAGGTTGTTACCAGTTTTGGGCTATTATGAATAAAGCAACTAACTATATACATTTGTTTACAAGTCTCTATTTGAATATAAGTTTTCATTTTCTTGGGTAAATACTTAGAAGTGGAATTGCTGGGTCTTATAGTAAGTATGTTTTACTTTATAGGAAACTGCCAAACTCTTTTCCAATTTCATTGTACCTTATTACAGTTCTACTAGCAATATATGAAAGTCTGTTTGCTACATATCCTTGAAAATGCTTGATATTTTTGATTTTAGTCATTCTAGTGAGTATGAAGTACTATCTCTGAGGTGTTTAATTTGCATTTCTTTCATGGCTAATGATAATGTGCATCTTTTCATATGCTAATTGGTTATTTGTATATCTTATGTTATAAAATATCTGTTAAAATCTTTTGCCTATTTTTATAAAATAGATTTTCTTTTGAGTTGTAAAAATTCTGTATGTATTTCAGGTTCAAGTCCTGTCAGATATTTGTATTTAAATATTTTTCTCAGTCTGTGAATTGTCTTTTCATTTTCTTAATAATGCCTTTTGAAGAACAGAAGTTTTAAATTTGTATGAAATTCAATTTATTTTAAAAAATTTATGACTAGTGCTTTTTGTGTCCTAAGAGATCTTTGCCTTTCCCAGGGTCAAAAAGATTTTCTGTTATTTTTTTTTTCTAGAAGTTTTATAACTTTAGGTTTTACATCTAGGTCTATGATCCATTTTCAGTTAATTTTGTATATGGTGTAGAGTAAAGTCAAGGATCATATTTTCCCCTACTAGTATCTGGTGATTCAAGAACCCTCTTTCAAAAAGACTATTCTTGGCTGGGTGCCGTGGCTTATGCCTGTAATCCTAGCACTCTGGGAGGCCGAGAAGGGGGGATTGCTCGAGGTCAGGAATTCGAAACCAGCCTCAGCAAGAGCGAGACCCTGTCTCTACTATAAATAGAAAGAAATTAATTGGCCAACTAATATATATAGAAAAAATTAGCCAGGCATGGTGGCACATGCCTGTAGTCCCAGCTACTCGGGAGGCTGAGGCAGGAGGATTGCTTGAGCCCAGGAGTTTGAGGTTGCTGTGAGCTAGGCTGATGCCACGGCACTCACTGTAGCTTGGGCAACAAAGTGAGACTCTGTCTCAAAAAAATAAAAATAAAAAAATAAGTAAAATTAAAAAATAAGACTATTCTTTCTGTATTAAATTATCTTGGCTTTTTTTTCTCTATTCTGTTCTCTTGATCACTGTGTGTATCTTCCTGTCAATACCCATACTGTCTAGTTATTGTAGCTTTATTGTAAATCTTGAAATCAGTTAGAGTAAGTCCTCCAATTTTATTCTTTTTCAATATAGCTTTGGAAATTCTAGGTCCTTTGCATTTCTCCATAAATTTTAGAGTCAGTTTGGCAATTTTTACCAAAAAAGCCTGCTGGAAGATTGATTGTTATTTCATTGATTCTATAGACCAACTGGAGACAGTTGATACCTTACCATTAAGTCTTCCAAACCATAAATGTGATATATTTCTCCATTTATTTAGATTTTCTTTAATTTCTTTCAATGATGTTTTATGATTTTCAGTGCATAGATCTTTGTTGAATTTAACCCTGTTTTTTTTTTTCTTCATGATTTGGGGTGCTATTTTAAATAGTATTGCTTTTCAAAAACTTTATTTTCCACTGGCATTTAGAAATACAAGTGATTTTGGTATATTGACCTTCTATCCCATGACCTTGCTGACTTCACTTAATAGTTTTTCTCTTGATTCCTTAGGATATTCTTTGAACATGTCAAGTATGCAAAGCAGTCTAGACCTTTAACCATTTTTAAACCTGCCTTGCTTTCTGTGTGCTTGTGCTTGTTCATTTGTGAAACATGTACTAGAAAACTTCCTTTGTTTTAAGCATACTACTACGTTTTGTAGATACAAAGAGTCCAAGAACTCATTGTCTAAGGAAGGGGACAGATAAGAAAGTGACTATATATGATAAAGTGAGATAACCATGGTAATAAATACAAACCAGGCCTCAGAAAGACCTTTGGTTTCTTAACAGATAGCCTGCTTTGAGGACATTTGAAATGATAAACAGAAATTTCTAAACTATTGACAGAATGAAAAGAGTAACTGTAATTTACAAGTATCTCACCTAACTTTTCTATCAACTTTTAAGCCATAAATTCATAGCATTTAAAGGCCAACATTTTTATCATCTTCTAAGTCATAAAGTCAGAATTTAAAGGCAAAAGAGATCTGAGAGCCTCTGTTCCAGCCACCTTTCTTTACAGATAAGGAAATAAAAGTTGGGTCCAATTCCCACAGCCAGTTAGTAAACTAAGTGAACACTCCTGCTGCCTATATACTAAGACATGGTCCTCAAAGGTTGGATACTTACTGATGGCTAAGTATTTGTTCATATTTCCTTATTTACTGAACATATCCTGTGTGTCAGGCACTATCCTTTTGCTAGGTATATGAAAAAAAATAAGATTTTATTCCTGCACACAAGAAATTTACAGGCTAGTTGGGGAGACAGATAAGAGAAGAAATAATTATAATAGAGTGACATTTTCTATAATAGTGTTCCTTAGTGAGGGATCATTACTTGAAAGATACAGAAACCTAGTCAAGCTATTTTTGAGTTAAGAGAGATTTATTTATTGTAAGGACATGAAGAAATTATATGGAACCCAATAGCAGAAAAGACAGCCTCACCTCATTGGAACTGGAGAGGCAGCTTCTTCCTCCCTCCCTCTTTTCTGCATTCCTTCCTCTCCACATGGCTTCAAATGTTTGTATCAGCTTTATTTTTCTCTCCCTACAGATTCATTCTCTTGCTCATTCATTCACTTGTTCATTCAATTTGGCTGCCCCCAAATATCAGCCTTAGATCTCCAGTCCATGATTTTATAATTTGATTCTCTATACTTAATTGATCTCTGACTCCGAAACTTCAGACTTTCAGGAGAGAGCCATTCATTCATTGTCCCAGCTTAAGTCAGGTGTCTACTGCTTGTCCCTCCAGCTTCTTAGGGGCTGTAGGCAGTACAGGTTTTCCTAGATAATAATGGGGGTGGAAAGAAATGATACGTATTACTAGATCACAGAGGCACATAGGCAAGTGGCAAAGCAGCATTCTATTTGTTCCTAGTTATATATTCTAAAAAAAGTTTCTTTCTCTCTCTCTCTTTTTTTTAAAGGTTTGAATGTTTCAAGATCAAGAACTCAGTAAACTACCATCTGCTTTTTACCTTAGTTCTATTCAGTTTAATAGTAACCACAGTAAGTCATATTTTGTTATAACAGATTAAACATGTGAATTAGCCACTTATAGAATTTGTCATATTTTACTTTCGGTATTTGCTTCATGCTGTCAAACTGAAATGTTTCTACACAAAACTAGACTATCTCACTGACAGATACTGCTTCTTTATTTCCTGTTCAAGTGTTATTTCTCACTGTAATTAAAACCACTTTTTAAAATCTGGTTTTTTTAAAGGGAAAAATCAAAAAGGAAATATTCAGTAGCAATGGAAAAAAATTAACTTATCTCATGGATGGATATATTATCTCCTGTTTGTTAAAAATGAAATTGGCTGGGCCTAGTGTGACTATTTTAATGGTTAACCTTTTCCAAATAAGCTGAGATAGCTTGTCATTTCTGATTCTATGCTATTGCTTTTTTTCCTCAAGTGAATTGCATTTTGTATTAAGAAAATATTCATTTCAACAAATATTTATTGAAAACCTACCATGTCAGGCACCAGAAATACAAAGATGACTAAGAGGCAGTTGCTATCTGTGACGAGCTCATTCTATTAGGGAAGTCAGACATACAAACAAAGAATTGCATTAAAAGATGGTAATAGCACTAACAGAGGTAAAAACTAGTCATATGGTGATGAGACAAAGGAGGGCCATCAAGTATGCCAGAGTGGGCCTAGGAAAGTTTCAGAAGCAGGCACTTAAACTGGATTTTAACTGATAATTAGGAGTTCCTGAGGCCCCTGGGCAAGGGTGTGGTGAAGCATTTCTAAATACACCATTGCATGTTCATAGGCATAGAACCTTGGAACAACATAGTGAACTACCATTTTTAATTACTTACTATGTGCCATATATTATACTGAGTACTTTACTTTTATTGTCTCATTAAATCATCACCACCAGTAGAATTGGGAGAGACTTAGTAAGGATAGGTAAGTTCCACTTGAAATGTGTTGAGATTGAGGTGTCTGCCATTAAAAACATCTGAGGCTTAACAGGTAGGTTTAGCTAAATATGTAGATTTGGGCGTTGTCAGCATGTAGGTAGTACTAGAAATCTGGGAATAGATGAACTGGCACAAAAATAGCATAGACCATTAAGATGACTAAAGCTACAACCCTATGGAATGCTGACATTTGAGGGCCAGGTAGAAGAAATGGAGCCAGCAAAGGACACTGAGAACAAGAAATCAGAGATGTAGGAAAGCTGGGAGAGCCTGATGTCACAGAATACAAATATTTCTAAAAGTGAAAACTAACAGTATTAGTTGTCTCTGAAAGGATGAATAAATTGAAGATTGAAAGCTAACTAATAGAAATTTCCAATTAGAAGAACCAGATAACCTTAATGATGATACTTTCAGCAGTAAATTGATGGAGGCAGAGGCTAGATTTCAGTTAGTTGAGATGTTCAATAGGAAGTTAAAAGAGCACATATCCAATATTTTCTTAGGTTTCTACATTCCTTTGCCTGAACTACATATTGGTTAATCCTGAAAGAATCCTAGAACTTCAGAAGTGAAATCAAGTCTTGTTACTGTATAAAAGAAAAGAATAAAGTCCAGAGAGTGACTTGACTAGCCAACCAAGTTTATATAGGGAATTTGTGGCAGGGTCAAGACTAGACAGACCCCTTTGTAAGTTAAAAGATGATACCAGAAACAGGCTTTAGAGTCAGTCAAATCTGAGTTTGGATCCAACACTGTCATTTAGTAACTGTGGGACATTTGACAAGTTACTTAATCTCTCTCAGCCTTAGTTTTCCTTATCTGTAAAATGAAGATAATAATAGTATACATTTTATATTAGTTGTGAAAATTAATACCTGCTACATAGTGAGGACTCCATAATTCTTTGACTTAAAAAAATGTCTTTCAGAGGCATGCCATTTTGCATTTCTTTTACTAATAACAATGGGAATCTGATAGCATTAACTATATAAACGGAAATTAGTATTTTGAAATAAGGAATTTCAGAGATTAAAAGCATTCTCTCTTACTAGGTTTAGAGTTACAAATATATAATGTTTCATATACCTTATACTCTTAAAGCTTGATTGGTGTTTCAAGGAAATAATCTGGTCTTTTTATAGTGAGGGTAGAAACTTTCTCTGGAAATAGGAAATTCTGTAGCCAAATTAGAAAATCATGTAAAATTTTACGAGATCAGTCCATTAAGTGAGGATATAAAAATATCTAAGCCCAGTCCTTACTATCAAAGAGATTATAGTCTTATAGGGAGAGAAACAAACTAATAAATGCCTTAAAGTTTACACATGGACAGTGGTGATAAAAAAGAGAGTGAATGGTTGTTTCTGTTACATCAGAGATCAAGGATTAAAAAAGACTTCAAGAAGGAGATATAGTTTGAATTGAATCTTAAATGATGAGCAATGAGTAGGGTAGGATTTCTGAACAAAGTAAAGAGCAGCATGTTTAAAGAGGCAGAAGCATGAAACTAGCATATTTGAGGAAGCAGTACTTTCCGAAGCTTTAGATGAGAAGGAGACAAAAAGACAGTAGTGAGGCCAACAGAAAGGTAGGAGTCATGGAAGGCTTTGAATGTCAGGCTAAGAAATGCAAACTTTTTGCTTGATGACTTGGGATACAACAACAAAAAGGAAATTTAAACTTTGTCTTAAATGTGATGAGAGTTATTAAAAGGTTATGATTTGAATTTTGATTCCCCTATACCATGTCATTTAAAAATGTGCTCCTATAGGGCAATACATGCATGTTAAGTCTTAAAACGGCACTGAACTTAATCATCCACATGACATTGGGAGCCTAAAAGTATGGTTGTAAAGATGCATTGCTGTAACTGGCAATGCATCTAGGAGAGTGAGAGATTTTTGGAAGCAGAAGAGAGTACGAGGCACTTGTTTTAAATGTCTTTACTTACTGAGCAGCTACTAGGTGCTAGACACTTCCTTGTATTCCTCACCATTATTATTCTTCATTATCCAGATAAGTAAAAATGAGTATTTTGATTAAATGACTTGCTGAAGATGTGTAGCAAGTAAGGGGCAGAGTTTGAAATTTAACTCTCATCTCTAACTTTAGAGTCCAATGTTCTCTCTACTGTAGAACAGATCTACTACAGGGATTGTCCTATAACCTCCTCACTCCTCATGAGTATGCATACCTTTATCCTTCTTAATGCTGATGCAGACACCAAGAGGCCAGAGTAGTCCACAATAGATTTGAAACATTTTGTTTACCATGGCAGGATTAGTACTGGGGTAGATCCCCCTGTAGGTACTAGCTCTTTTGTGGCATGCTACCTGATCCGATTGATTTTATATGGCTGGAGTTAAGTCTAAGCAGGATTAAGGGAAGCAAAAGAGGTTTGGGAGTTTCAGAGTAGTGGGAATAGGATTTTTCCTCTCTATAATGTACTTCATTCACATGTGTTTCTTCTAATATTTTGCAGGTTTACCTTAAGGTAAAAGAGCCTGTATTCCATCAGGTAACTGTTTTTTAATTATCAACATTTGATGGTTTAACAATATATGCCTGCTTTGTGTTTTCCTTTTCTAGGAAATTATATGCAGATACAACTTTTGAAAATGCAGTGGTAGATGTCCTAGGAAAGTTCAGTGTTCAAAACAGGTTGCAGACTCAAATGCCTTCAGGAGCCAGGTGTGGGTAACAGAAATCTACCTGGGACAGCCAATGCCCAGGTGCCGCTGGCTGTTGGTATTCAGTAATGCAGGTGCCGCATTGCTCTTACAAGCAGAAGGGACCAGGAAGACAGACTGGAAATTCCTTGAATATTTCGCTCCTAATATATTTTAATAAGTTGTTTAACATGGGAGGTTATTTACATTAAGGAAGCAAGCACAGGAAACTTTGTTGTAGGAAATGGTTATTTAAGTGCTTCCCATTATGAAACGAGTGAAATAAAGTAGCAGACCTTAAGTAAAGAGAGCTATTATTTACTGAGTGCTATGGCATGTCTGGTACTATGCTCATTACTACACAGACTTCTCATCTTACCAACAGTCCTACTAGTGATTATTATCCATATTTTAAGGTAATTGAATACTCTGGTTTCTCTTCAAATTATACATATCTTTCACCTTTTAAGGTTATTGAGCTTAGAGATATTAAGTAATTTGCTTCAGTGTGACAGGGTTATTAAGGGGCAGAGCCAGGGTTGTAATCTACATTTCTCTGATTCCTAGTCACTATCCTTTTAACAAAGTAGCAAACAAACAAACAAAAATAAATAAATAAGCACACTTTTTAGGGACTTAGTAGAGGTAGATAAATGTCAGAGGCTTTGTAGTTTTAAAATATTTTGTGCTTATATAAAAAGTAAACAAACAATCAAATGCTGTCACTTTTTAAACTCAAGCTATACAAAAATTGTCTAACTGAAATCTGTTTTTTGAAGTAAATTCCACAACTGCATTATTGTGCCTTGCTTTTCTTCAGGCCAGCTGAAAGTAGATGCTACAGGAAAGGATCCTCCCTTTCTTGTTTATTGTAACTTGAAATGATGTCATTATATAATTTCCCTTTTATTTAGAAAGATTTATTAACAGTATAAAAAACAAGTTGTGAATGTATGTGAAGAATATTTAAGTTTTTATAAATTTCTTATTTGCTTTTTCTAAGAAAAAATCATAACTACAAAAAAACCACAACATTTGGAAGTTTTAGGTTAATTTTTATAAGTTTGTGGCCATCAATTTTTCATTTTGTATTTCAGACCTGTTTGACACTATGTTTATGTAATAGAAATAACAGTGTAACTTCCCCTGCTGCAATATCCATGTGTTTTTCCAGTAATATTGTTTTCTTCTTCATGTATAACAGTAATATTTACTGATAAGCAGGGAAGCAGGATGAAAGCTAGGTTTGCCCATGCCCATTGTGGCTTATGTCCTAGACCTAGAGATTAAAAATCAGGATAGGGTAATGAAGAAATTGGGGGGGGATGCTAGAGTGAAACAGATGATAGTAATCTAAAGGTAAAAGGCTTTCATGCATTGAACAGATAACCACTGTATGCCTTCTCAGTACCAAATTCTGAGCTGGAAGTTGGAGATAGAACAGACCAAAGTTTTTAAAATCTAAAGTCAAGGAGACATGGATTCAAATCTAGTGTTCTCCACATTCTAGCTGTACACTCTGCACAAGTTACTTAAGCTCTCAGAAATTTGGTTTCTTCACTGTTCAACATATACTTTTTAAGTGTCTTCAATGTGCCAGGTACCATACTGGATACAATGGATACAATAGTGAATAAAATAGCAAGGTCTCTCCCTTCATGGAGCTTATTATTATACCTTAGCTCTAAAACTAGTATAATAACTTCTTAAGGTTGTCTGAGGATTGACTAAAATAATACATATAAAGGCAAATAATATGTGACTACTGGTCTCAAAGAAGTCACTGTCTAATCAGGAATATAGACTTGTAAAAAATAATTACAATATATAATTCTTACAATAAATATGTAAAAATAGTGCTAATACAGACAAAGGCATACTTGGTTGGTCTGCTTAGATGACTCAGAGGAAGGGCTTTAGGAGAGTCTTGAAGGATGAGCAACATGTCACAAAGTAGACAAGTTGAGGAAGGATATCCATCCAGAGAGAAGCATATGTTAAGTTGCATAAGTGTGGACTGGTAACTATTGCACATGAAACAGGAGTACAAGTTCACCCTGAGGTCTGTGGTAGCATGCTGAGGTATTTACAAAACCACTGACTGCATATGGAAATGACCTGTCTTCCTAGAACATTTATTTTAAGCATATTGTTGGTATTAAACTTTTTTAATTAAAACAAATGTAGATATGTTATAGAATACAGTGACCACATGAATTTTTAGGATGAAATAGGAAACCTCAAATCAATTTGTGTTTTCAGTTGTGCCTCTCCTATCTCTGTCCATCAGGAATAAGTTATCCTTCCTCTGACATGAGAGTACTTATGTAGAAAAGTTTTAAAAGCACTGGTATCCTATAAATATTTGGTATGGCTGTCCTAGCTATAAGAGAGAGGTTTGGATTACTGGTGAGGTGTTAGATCATGAAGAGTCCTTTATACTATACTTAAAATTATAGGCATTGGGGGCCATTAAAGGCTTTATATGACCAGATGAGATTCTCATTTAGAAAGATTCATTGGAAGGCTACCTAGAGGTTGGAGAAAGGAAGTAAAAAGGAGAGTAAAGAGACGAGTTTATAGTTCATTGAGAAAGGATAAAAAAAATACAACAGTGTTAAAATGTAATAAGAAACAATAAAACTGTTGATTTAACAAGCAAATTTATATTATAGTATACTTATATATTAGAAGGTAAATGCTATTAAAAAAAGAAAAACCATGTTAGAATAGAGGGATGTCCTTCCACTTACCTCCTCCTTCAGTTTCTCCACTCACACTGCCTTCTTGCTTTATATTTCAAATACAACAAGCTTGTTTCTACTTTAGAACTTTTGTGCTTACTGTTCCCACTGCCTAGGATACCAATATCCCAGATGTCTAATGGCTTATGTCCTCCCTTCATTCAAGTCAAATGTTAACTTAGCACAGAGGCCTTCCCTGACAACTCTATCTAAAATTACACCACATCCTTCTCTATGTTGTATCCTGATTTAATTTTCTTCTTAGCTTGTATCAGCCACTGACATGTATTTGTGTGTGTTTATTTCAAATGTAGTTTATTTTTCTCCCTCATACAAACCTAGAATGCAAGTCCCATGAAAGCAAGGAGCTGCATCCTCACAGCCTAGAAGAGTGACAAATATTAGGTCATTAAATATGAAATGTCTGACTTCGAATCAGAAATGTAGTTTATTATATCTCAAACAAGAAGCAGTACAATTATAAAGTATGCGCCTTAATGATCGACATAGTTTTGCCATCTTAACGGTAGCTTGTTTATGCTAGCAGCAAAGAAGCCTGGAGAGCAAGTAGCGTGAAATCGCATAAGGCGTTTTCCACAGCTTGTTGGGAATTGAATATTTGTCCTTGCAAGAAGTGGTCCAAAGCCTGGAAGAAGTGGTAGTCAGCTGGTGCAAGGTCTGGCCTATGTGCCTGTAGTCTTAGCTACTCTGAGTCAGCAGGATCACTTTGCTTGAGCCCAGGAGTTGGAGGCTGGAGTGACTATAATCATACACCATACTTTAATCTGGGTGACAGAGCAAGACCCTGTTGCTAAAAAAAAATAAAAAGGAAGAGGAATTTGATATACTTATTTTGAAATTATTTCTCGGATATTTTTATGTTTAGAATGCTTTATGAAACAAACTAGTTATAGTTTATATCAAAGAACTTTGTGTTATCACTAAGACTTTGTATATATTGTAATTTTTTAAATAAAAAAGTAACATGATATAATTACTACCCTCAATAATGGCTAGATGCTTTTCAAAACCAAGCATAACATCATGTTAAATAACAATAAAATTATTATTTTTCTTTTCTTTTTTTATTTCAATATATTTAGGAGGTATAAGTATAGTTTTGTTACATTGGATATATTGTATAGCAGTGAGGTCTGGTCTTTTAGTGTACCCATTACCAGAATAGTATACATTGTACCCAATAGGTAATTTTGTATCCCCCACCTGCCTCTCACCTTTGGAGTCTTCCCTGTCTATTAGTCCTGCCATCCCCAAACACTGGGCCACAGAGCTCCACCACAAACCACCCCACCGCCCCTGTCATGGAAAAATTGTCTTCCATGAAACTTCCATGTTGCAATCCATTGATGGCATCCCCCCCTGAGCTCCACGTCCTCCCCAACCCAATGTGTGGAAAAATTGTCTAGCATGAAACTGGTGCCTATAAGGTTGGGGACCGCTATGTTAGTCTACTCTGTGTGGCCATGCATACCCATAGTTTACTCCCACTTATAAGTGAGAATGTGCAGTATTTGATTTTCTGTTCCTGTGTTACTTTATTTAGGTAATAGCCTCCATTTCCATCCAAGCTGCTGCAATAGACTTTTATTTTGTTCTTTTTATGGCTGAATAGTATTCCATTGTGTGTGTGTGGGAGGTGGGTGTACACCACATTTTCTTTATGCAGTAGTGGGATTGTTGGATCAATTGGTAAATCTACTTTTAGTTCTTTGAGAAGTCTCCATTCTGTTTTCCATAGAGGTTGTACTAATTTACATTCCCACCAACAGTGTATAAGCATTTCCTTTTCTCCACATGCTTGCCAATATCTGTTGTTTTTTCACTTTTTAATAAAGGCTGTTCTGACTGGGGTAAGGTGATATCTCATTGTGGTTTTAATTTGCATTTCTCAGATGATTAGTAGTATTGAGCATTTTCTCATGTGTTTATTGGATATTAGTATATCTTTTGAAAAATGTTCATGTCATTTACCCACTGTCACTTTTTAATGGGGTGATTTTTTACTTACTGAATTTTTGAGTTCCTTATAGATTCTGAATATTTGTCCTTTGTTAAGTATATAATTTATGAATATTTTCTCCCAT